CATTTGTGCTTAAAATACATTACACGTGTGCCTCAGCTGCAACACAGTTACTTAAAAGACACTAAAGCACTGACTTAGTGAACTGAGGAGCCAGAAAATCCGAGTGCCAGTCTTTTTGACCATGACCCATTTCCCTGGCCATTCAGTGGGGCAGATAGATATATCCATTTCCCTCCCTCAGCGGGTGGTGGGAAGCACAGCTCACTCTTTGATGGTCCCCCATGCCCTTTCTTGCACATGGACTGGACGTTGCTTTGCCTCAGTTTTCCTCCTAGTGTTTTCCGCTGAGTCAATTAATCAAAGTTGAAAGTGAAGTTTCCCCTCAGCTTTTGTCCTTATTGCATTCTTTAAATATTTAGTACAAGCACGTCTTTACGTCACCCTGACTGAGGCTGGGTATTTCCTCCCTGGAGCTCCGGTTGCTGTGATGGAGGTGAGCCAGGGAGAAGGACAGGGAGTGGGAAAGGTGCTTGTGGAGCTGGGAAGACACCAGGGAGGGCGATCTGCCAAAAAAGAAGAAAAATCGCAAAGGCAGAGGGAGGGCACAAGGGAAACCAGGGGAAATGGGCAGACGGGGGCTTTAGGCTGAGAGGACGTAGAGAAGGTGCTTGGCTGGGGGCGATTTTATATGGTGCTTTCAGAAGGATGAGAAAACAACCTGGATGGAGACAGAGAAAAGCCAGTGGGGACAGACAGCTTGGCCACGCCATTCAGAAATTAAGAGAAAAAGGGAAGCGAGGACACATCTAGAGGGACAGGAGTGGGTAATAACAATTAATAATAAATATGGAGTGAACTGCTGAGATGTGTTCACTTCAACTTCGGCACCAGATGACGGCAATCGCTTGTGATCTGTATGGCAGGAGCTACCTGGTAAGAATCACAATTTCTAGAAATGATATTTAAAAGCAAACATTTTGGCCTCCTGCTTCCTTCTTATCCCCCAAACTATCTTCTACTCATTTTGGTTTTTAATGGATCCCCTGGGAAGCCAGAAGCATGTTGTTGCTGGGACAATTGCCCACCAATGTATATCCTTTATAATTCTCTTTATTAAAATCTTTCTTTTTAGGAAACACAAATTGAAACACTTTGCAATCAGTTACACAGATCAGTTAATATTGGTGACAGTTCCTACATAATTAAACAAGTACTAACAAATTCCAACTGTTTACAAGCCAAAACTTAAATTAACAAGATTATATAAGCTCAATAAATAGTATATCTGGTCCAGTTCAAGTATAATTCAACAAATCACAGCCTTAATCCTTAGAGAATAGAAAAACCCTGAATATAACCAGCCTAACACTAATTTAGTGTTAAAGCCCATATGAAACTTTGTCTAACCTTATGGGGCAAATGTTTAATTCTTTTATTTGTTACTTCAAATAAAGTAAGTCGCAGATTGACATTAAAGACTATTTGAGATCAATTCAGATTTCATGAAGATGAAAAACATAGTGCCTATTCAAAAAGTGCAGTCTTTGGTAGAGATGTGTTGAAATGATTTGAATATATTAAGGAAGCTCCTTTTTAAATATCAAGATTTGTTTGGCTTGACCTGAGCCTGTTTTGTTCTATATATATATATATATATTTATTAATAAACAGCGTGGATTATAGTGATGACGAATTATGCCAACTAAAAAAAAAAAGTCAAGATTTTAAATGTAATAAACCAAAAGAAATAGCACATTTTTACACAAGCTGAGAAAGGTAAGCAGCTGCCTACAGTGGCCTTCTTCCTCAGCAGAATAGGTAGTAGAGAGAAGTCGAGGAGCTGAGTGCCTGTCAGCATTGCATGACGGCCTGTTGGAGAGGGAAGGAGAATATCTCTGAGTTCTCAAAGTGCATCAGGCTGAAAACTGATCATAGGGATCATTAGCAGCTAGTTGAGACTTGGGATTGCTTTTAAATGTTGAGTTTTAGGGGGAGAAATGACCTTCTCAGAAGGGGAAATGCCTGTTTGGCTGTACCCAGGGTTTTGCAGATTTCTATTGCGTCAGGACAGAGCCCAAAGGGATGGGGTGTCCAAACCACCTCTACAAATGTCTGGGTCTGATCACATCTGTGGGGCTGGGCACTGCACCTGCATTGCTCACCGCAGTCGTTTGCCTCCAAAGAGGAAACTACGCAGGGCAGAGATGCCATCTGGAGCCTCCTCCTTCCTCAGTGGCAAGCAAGGACCTGTATCCATGACCCAAGCAAGGTATCTGGTGCCAGGGATGTTCCTGGTAAGCCTTGGTCAAGGCTCCAGCTTCTGGAGCCCTAGATGGAGACTGAAACTTAAGTGATCAGGGACTGAAAGATACCAAGGCCCTCTCAAGAAGGGATTTTGTGTGTCTAACACAGCTGGCCAGGAACAAAAAAAGGAGGGTAAATATGCAAGCTGTGAATAATGGGAGTGAACCTGGTTCGGAATCAGAGGAGGGGGAAAGTAGCTTGAATCATCTCCCGTAAATCCAAAAATAAGCCCCTGGGTAAACACTCATTTTAATTATTCTTCTGCTGCCAGTCAAAATCTCATGGCTACCTACTGCTTTCCCTGCCTGCCTGTATCCACCTGTTGTCTGTTTTCGGAAAGTCTGATTTAAAGCTCTTCGGCCTGGGAAAGTCTTTGTTGTGGATTTGTGCCGTGCCTATAATAAAGGCAGTGGACCCGTAGCTTCTACTGCAATACAAATAAAGAATAATAACAGTGATACTTTTCTCATTTGAGGTTACCTGGGGATAAAGTTGCTGGAGGCATATGACTTTGATATAGAGTCAGCTATGTCTCACATCCAATTAAGCCTAACCACATGGTCTGACAAGCTCCCATTAGGCCGGTGAGAGCCCCAGTTTGATAGCAGGGTTAGCTTCAAAGATTTGATGCTTGCATTTGTAGTGATTTCCTTCCCTTGTGCTCTGATTGTGCTGAAGGGCATGAAGGGAGCTTCATATTCAGATGATGCATGACCAGCTTGAGAGCTGTGCTTTAGAAGGCCATTGCACAATCTTTACTGCCATTTTCGTAATCTTAACAGCTTGCAATACAAGCTCTTGCCCTAACAGCCCTCTGCTCAAATTTCACTGCAATGTGAAAAACAGTCAAAGAAAAACCCAGCCCTTGAAGGACAAATACCTGGTTTGCAATTTTTTTTTTTTTTTTCCCATAGGTAAAAGAAAGCTGGTTTAAATGACAAATGGACCCAAGTCTTTAACTTACTTCAAGTCTGGACAAAGAAGGATTTAGGCTGTAATGTTTTTCATTTCTCCTTGTCTTTTGGATAGGCCACGTCTGAACCTGGGATGCAAAGAATCCCTCAACTTGCGAGAAGCAGGAATTCCAAATATGAAATCTGAACCCACCTCTGGTAAAAATGAGTGGAAAGCACAGGCCATGAAATGGAACAGGGCTTCAGGCAACAACACCAGGCACCTCTGAGACACGCTGCCTGGCTACAGGGTACTTCAGAGAACAAGCATCACTGCTGGCACAAGAAATAATGGAACGAATACTTTAGTGGAAACAGTTATGGCAATTCGGCCACTGCAATATTTTGCGACATCCATGTCATTCTTAGAGATCGCCAGAACCTTCTGGGAAGCTATTTCCTTTGCACAACATCTAAACAGGACATCCAGCACCAGCAATTTTTACAGAACATACCGTGATGAATATTAGAGTCAGGCAAAGAATGGAAATACGTCTGCAAATCCCCATCTGTCTAGATTGTGTGGGGCGTTTTATAAAAGCATAACTCCGGGATCAATTCTGGCAATGGTTTGCATACGTATTCGCTTTACTACACAAAGCCCTATTGAAATGAACCAGAAACTTGTACAGTGCATTTCAAAGGGACTTCACAAAATACTAAGCAACAACTGTGCAGAAACAATAGCTCATAATAATGCCAGAGCTGCTGGTGCATCCTGTGTTCTCAGTGCAGCACTCTGTGAGCCATCAGTTGTTGTATTCGCCTTAAAAAATTCAGGGAAATAAAATACAAAAACAATATTAAAAGTCTGGCATCTTTCCATGAAAACCAGGAAAATTCAACGCTGCCAAGCTGAGGAAAAGCAAGCTTGAAAGAAAACAAAAAGACCCCAAAAGCAAGGATCTTAAATAAAATGTCTAAAAGAGACATGGTCCAAACATGTGGCATGTTAAAAAGCCTCTCATGAGAGTTTCAAGTCTGTAAGACTCAAAGTTGGCACCCTTTAGAATTATCAAAAAGAAGAGGTTCAAACACAACGGTACCTGGAGAACATCCTGATCACACCATGGAAAATGCTGAAAACCAGAGCAGGTTAACTGTCAGCACATGTATTCAAATTGCTCTCCCTGTGCTGGGTTCAGGCTATGAGGTCCCTGGGACAGACTGTGGCTCCCTCTGCATTCGAACAACACAGTCAGTGTACAGTCTGTGCTCAACAACACACACATTTATCATTTCACCAAGCTCTAAGACACGTGGAGGTGGATGCTGATGGGGTTTACATTATGCCATCTACTGACTAGTTTTAGCACAATGGCTTTAGATGTCCTATGCAAATCCTACTTCTCACTGGGGCAATGAATGAAACCGCTGAAGAAATTTTAAGCAACATTAAAGCCTATTTATAGTCACATCTCCTTTCCTTCCAGTGTCCACTGGAGGATGCTGAGTGCTTCTAAATACTCGGCCTGACATGATGTGTCACATCAGAATTACAACTTTAAGAATCCCTGAGAATTCTGATTTAATCTAGGAAACCACTCCCAGCATGTAGAGTGTGAGAAAGAATTGCTCCACTTCTTACAGATATGCCAGCATTGCTTCACCGTGGGAAACAGTTTCAGGCATCTTGGGTTTTAATGGCACTCTGGGCATAGATGCATGGAACATGCTCTTTATTTCCCCTCCTCTGTACAGTGCAAATTGACAGTTATATCATAGAAATAAAAAAAAAAAAAAAAAAAAAAAAAAAAAGAAGTATCAGCATTCACTCATTGTAGCTCTTCCAGTTCATCTGCATCATAGTTTTTTCTTCGCAAAGTGAGGAACAATGCCAGTGTCATCCTGAGGCAGATGGCTGCCTTCTTCCTTCATTTTCAGACTCTCTTCTGCAAGCTGGGAGAGATACTTCTGCAATCACATCAAAAACAAAGCATCGTTACCAAAACTGAAAAGATTCGACATAGGATGCTTTACGCCTTTTTAGAGCTCTCACTCTCCCAGCATCTCAAAAGAGAAGAAAAATGCATAGAAGTCCCATTTTGGTGAAAATTCAAGCCAGGAAATATAGCTGTGTCAGGCAAACTACCTTAATACATGGAGAGCCTAAGAAGTTCAGTGATTTACTCTGTGCCACAAGGGGAACTGTTGACAAAACCAGGAGCACCATGGCTCTCCACCAGTCTTTGTAACTAGACTTCACCTTCTCTCCTTGCAAACCCTCTACTCCTATATGCTGTAGAGCAGGAACTAACTCCATTGAGTCAACTGAATTAAGCTGGTATAAGACTAGTGTGTCAGAAAATAGATGCAGTTTCTGAGTCACAATTTGAAGCATATATATTACATTTTCAGCATGTCCAGTTCAGAGATATGCCTTTTGTACAAGAACATTTGTTTTAAGGGAATAATAAAATTCAGTAATAATTAACACAATTGAGCAGCCTGACTAGAGTATTTACACTTATTGTTTTTCTCTAAAATAAAGCCTTTCTGTGCTGTAAGTACTCAGTGTGGTTTAAAAAACCAGACATGGCCAGTGGGGCTTTCAGCCTTCTGGCAGTGCTCTGAGTTGACAGAGCTGCACACAAAATGGAAGATGAACTGGTATGGGTCTGAAAATGGTGCTCAAAGTACTTATTCAAGGTCAACAGACCTGGAAATGGATGGAAAGGAGCTTCTTCAGCAGCAGCTAGTCTAGAGAAACACATGGGAAATTCCCAGACAATAATGTAGAGATGTTCTTACTAATGACTTATACATGTACCACATGCAAGAATAACTGACCTGCACATTATTAGGCTCATAAAACTCTATTTTCTACCTAATTATTCATTCTGATTTGTTTTGAAAAGACCATCTCACATCACTGCAAAATTTTATCTGCTTGCAGGATTCCCCCAGAGTACAGTTTACTCTTTGGCATCCATGGGGAAGAGGTGAAATGAGAAACGGATGTAAAAAAAAAAAAAATCTAAGGGCTGTGTTAGGACTGCCAGGTTGTCTCACGTAAATACAAGTTTTGGATGTAAAAGATACATCTGAAAGGGACTCAGTAATGCTAACAAATGGACATACCTGTGACAAAATGACGACTGCACCCTTCTTACTCTAAATATAGAGACTGGCCGTGAAAATTACGCAAGTCTTGATCCCTGGGTACAAAATTCCATGTGGCAGGAAGCCATAGTAAATGTTACAGTAGTATAGAGATATAGGGTCCATAAAGGCTAGGAGAAGTGATCCGTACACCATGAACTGTAATAAATCACTAACGCTTGTCATTGGATCAGATAACTCATGCATTTTTGGTTTTTAATGATTACCCTCCAAAATAAGACTGAGGTTTATCCACTACCTTTGGCTGATGATGTCAGCTATCATGAGTACCACAAACACCACTTTTCTGAAGTTCACAGACCAGGCCTTCAGATTAATTTATAGCAAAATGAGAGTCAAGGGAAAAAAAAAAATCATTTAAATACAAGTTTCGATGAATACTGCATAAAGCCAGCGGAAAACAGGATAAAATGCTGCATTGAGTTGCCAAAGTAGTGTACATCAGACGAATCTGACAGCTTTTTGTGGTGGTGGTAGTGGTGGGAGGGATGGCCAAATGATGGATTTTTTCGGACATGGAAAATGCAGTAGATCTGTAAATATAAATGCCACCTGGGAAAATAATTTATTAAGATGAAGAGAATAGAAAATTACAAAAAGTGTGCAAGGCTGACAAAGAAACAGTTGAATTTTTTTCAGTGAGTGCTGCTCTTCCATGGGCACCATACTCAGATGAAGTTAACTACTTTGCTTCAGGACAAAATCCTCATAATCCAAGCAAGGCTTTTGGAAGAAAACTGGTAAACAAACTGTTCAGTTTGCAACAAGCAGCAAATCAACTATAAAAAACTTATAGCCATGAGAGCATTTGGGACAATGTTGTTGTCATTGGACAACGTTATTTGTCATGTAGGCAAGACAACAGAAAGACAGTCTGCAGCAGCAGTCCCACAGCTTCACATATAGTAAAAGTTAGAGTCCATAGTTCTTCTGTTGGTGGATATACTGATTAAATTGCATCATTATAGGAAAAGACTGATATTTTTTGCAAGACTGCATAAATAAGCATTATTGCAACTAAAATGGTTCTAGTAATACAGAACAATTATTTAAGATTTGCTGAGTTTCCACTTGAGTGGGTAAAAGTTGGATGGGACGTTTACTTCCTCCATTTAGTCAGATAAGATGTACTGCTCAGCAGAACAGTCTGTTTTCATTACCATATCTGACAGATTTAATTTTAACAGCTTTTGTAGTATTTGTTTCTTTTATCTCAAGTCAGTGTTAGCTATCTACCACAGTGCTCATGGGAAATGTCTTAACGGAGAGAAAAAGAGGTTTTTTTTTCCACATAGACTCAGTTTTAGTTGGACCTTTCTTTCTATGACTTTAACAAAATAACTTAAAATATGAAAAAATCCCTCTTCTTCCCATAGGATCAGTTGCCAGGGGCAGGGGCTGGAGTTGCAACCTTTCCTTTAGCACAAGTTCCTTTGGGACAGACTCACATGGGATACACAGCCTGCACTGCATGGTGAATCCCTCTGGATTTTTTTGTATGAAGCAAAAAAAGGCATGCAAACTGGGCACCTGTTTTTCAAGCTTACACTTAGAGGATCCATTATTAGCAAGCATCACAGCTCAAAAGCCAGAGGCCTTTGTGTGATTACAGCTACGTAAGTTCAGAAAAGTCAAGAAGAAAATTCTCCCAGATAAATTAT